CAGCTTCCAGGGGCAAGGCTCTGAGGGCAGATAGCAGGAAGTAAGGCTGAACCAAACAGAAGGAAAGGAAATGATCACTTCCCTGCTTGTCTTCCACACTGTTTATGTAAAAATACTCCACCCTCTTAGATGTTTTGGCTTCGCTATCCACCTCAGAGACCTGCCGGAAACCCTCTGATGGCAGCAGGCATCTTTACTCTTTGTCTCTAAGAGCTCACCCTAAGTCAGTGTCTGAACAAGAGTTTTTAATTAAAGACAACAGCTCGAAATAGGATCTCTGTTTATCTCCTAGTTTGTCACCTGAGGTGGGACTGATACCCTTGAAAATTGGTAGATTCACCAAGATTATATGCCAGGGCCTATGAGCTTTCCGTCTCTTCTGCCAAATGACTTCTTCTCATATAGAGATCTGCCCTGGACTCAAAAGTTTGAGAAGTTATTATACTCAAATTCTTGGCAACACAAAAAAGACCTTTATATTCTCAATGACTTTAATTGTAGATTGTTTCTTTTGCTGTAATTTGTTTGAATATTTCACAGGATTCAAATACAGGAACAAGCCAGGGCCTCGTGAACGCTAAGCGACCTACCACTAAGCTATAGCCCAGCCACTTTCTGTATTTTAATCCCTGTATCTATGGAATGTACTTAAAAACAAACAAGACAGAAAGAAGAGATGCTAGATCCATGGCTCAAAAGTAAATCACACTGGCTGCTCTTGCAGAGAACCAAGGCTCCCAGCACCCATAAGGTGGCTCACAACCAACTGTATCCCCGGTCCCAGGAATCTGACACCCTCTTTTGGCCTCAGTGGGACCAGTTTTGCATGTGGTACACAGTCACACATTCAGGGAAAATATCAATCATATAAAGTAAAAATAACTCCTCATCGAGGTAACTACTATTTGGAACAGATGAAATCCACACTCTATCAAAGTACAGAATTGTGCTCAACTCCAGATAATGTGTCTATAACACAACCCCTGCATCTGAAGGTCAGGGATATTTTCAAAAGAGGAAGCAGACTAAGAATCAGGGGAACAAGAAGTTTGCTGTGAGATTATTTCCCCAGCAAATGTCAGAAGCTACACCATCGAATCTTACCAACATGACTGTCTAAACATGACCTGAACAGGGATGACACCAGTAGGCACGCTAAAATGGATGGGAGTGGGGAGCTCATAAGGTCTCCACCCTAAATGAGGAACTACAGGCAACTGAAAATTACTGAGAGCAGGAGAAATAGTCTTCCCCACAGAAGAGCACACCAATTGGTTATCCAATACCAAATGGTCAGCCCTGAAAGCATACATACAAATAACATCTATACATATTGAATGGGTTGTATTTGTGTGTGTGTGAACAATTAAGGAAAAAGAAGCCATGAATTTGAAAGAAAGAAAGAAAGAAAGAAAGAAAGAAAGAAAGAAAGAAAGGAAGGAAGGAAGAAAGGAAGGAAGAAAGAAAGAAGGAAAAGGGTGGTACTTGGAGGAATTTGAAGGGAGAAAAGGAGTGGGGGTAAAGATGTAATTATAGTCCAGTATTTGGGATGGAGAGGCAGGCAGGTCTCTGTGAGTTTGAGGCTAGCCTGTTCTACATAGTGAGTTCCAGGTCAGCCAGAGATATTTAGAAAGACCCCGTATCAAAAACAAACAAAGAAGAACACAGAGTTAGGCACTCTAGATGGCTCAGAGGGTAAAGTCACCTGCCGTTCATCGATGCAGGCCTGGCCCTGCAGAGTTGCTCTGTGTATTAAATAAAACATCTAAAGCATACAGAAGTTGAATTTGAGATCTTATCTGTTATGGTGTCTTTTCTCTCCTTCACAGTTTTCAAATTTCATTTATTAAACATATATTGATGTAACTAGAAACTTGTGGATATTTATTTTATACTCGGAACTATAAGCAAATATTCTGTTAACCAAACTGTCCAAGTTTTAACCACAGAGAGCTTACATTTCTCTAAGCATAAGTAAAAAAGAAAAAAATGAAGACAAAAGATGGAAGACAGCATACCACTGTGCACATGTGCTGGCCACTGTGCTCTTGCACTGGCCCCTATGCATGTTTGCTGGCCACTGTGCCCATGCGCTGTGCTTGAGCTTTTTGATTTTACATTTATTTCTGGTGCTGTTATTTTTTTTAATCTTTCTGGATTATTTAATTATCTGGTTATTTAATCTTTCCAAATACTAGTTTCTTCTACTTTTAAAACTATATGAGGGCATGAGAGGCCAAACCTACTCCATCTTGGAAGTGGCCTTCATCTTAAAAGAAAAAGATCCTGATAATTTGACCTAAAGCTGAACCCAAGCTACAGCCAAGTACCAGGAAGGACCCCATGGCTTGTCCTTGGCTCATATCCCAAGAGTTACTCCCTAGCTACTTCCTAGCAACAGTCAGTCAAAGATTAGTTTGATTGTTTCAGATCTACTTTCAGACTGTTTGTGATTGTTCATGGTTTTGCTTCAAAGCACCCACCTGTTGGCTTAAACCCCCTTGTTTGCTTGTTATTCCCTATAAAACCTTATCCTGATGAAGACTCGGGGCTGCTCTGCCTTCCCATCCTGCTGTCTCAGGGTTGACAGAGAGCCCAAGCTCCAGCTTGTAATAAAGAGACCCTAATTCGATTACATCAGAGTCAGCTTCGGTGGCCTTTGGGGTCCACAGTGTCCTCTGACCTCCACATGCAGGTATGTGCCCATGAGTGCTGGTGCCCACCGAAGAGGACATTAGATCCCTCAAAGTTTCAGCCTGTGGAGAAACACTTTTAATATGGGTACTTGAACCCCAGTCCTCTGCAGGATCAGCTACAGGCTCTGAACCACTGAGCCATCTCTCCTGCCCACAAAAAAGATCTTGTTTCTTAATCTGCAGACTGAAGATAATGCCTAATTTGTAGGCTTGGAGTGAGGATGGTAACATTGTTATATGCTTCACAAAGGAACACAACAGTTACATTTATAGATACGGAAATTAGAGTAGTGGTTCCCTAGGGTCGGGGAGGGGAACCTAAGTCCTAAGCAGGGACAGCTTCAGTGTGGGATCAAAAGCTTCTGGGATGAAGTGGGTGTTGAAAGGCCAGATGTGAGTAACTTTATCTCACTTAAGTGTAGATTTGAAAATGATTACGATGGCAAATCTGTATTCTATTTTGCAACAGTAAAAAAAAGCAATGTGTTATTGTTGAAAATTTAGAAAACATTTTAAAAATCCTTAAACCTGGGTCAACAAGATAACTCAGCGGATGAAGATGCTTGCCGTCAAATCTCACTACCTGAGTGTGATACCCAGAATCCACCTGGGAGACAAGATGTCCTCTGACCTCCACATGCCTTGCCCCTATGCATAAATGAATAAATGAACGAACGAATGAATGAATGAATGAATGAATGAGTGAATGAATTTAAAAACCAAGTAACCCTAAGTAGCCCCTCTCTCTAAACCTTGTATCTAGGGGGTAGAGACATAGTTCAATGGTTAAGGGTACTTGTTGCTCTTGCAGAGGACTCAGGTTTGGTTCCCACCACCCACAAGGTGGCTCACAACCATCTGTAAACTCCAGTTCCAGAGGGTGGAAAGGCAGCAGGCAGCAGGTGGTGTAGGTAAAACACACATAAGATACACTGATCTAAAAATAACCTTTCATCTAATTTCCCCTAGTGTTTAGAATTCTGTAGAGCTCCTGGATTTTAGACACAGGACTAGGAGAGAAAAAAGACCTGCACAAATTTACTTATTTATGTTTGTAAGACACGGTTTCTCTGTGTATCCTTAAACAGAACTCCCTCTGTAGACCAGGCTGTCCTTGAACTCACAGAGATCTCCTTGCCTCTGCCTCCGGATCGGTGGCTTAACATGAATGTGTTTTTATTAGCTATATTACATTCCTCCATCCTTTATATACTATTTGGAGCACTTGGCTGTGACTAGATACCTTTTCGTTCTTTGGGCTGACAGATACACGTTATCAAAGTTCTTCCAAAGGCACCCACATCTAGATGTTTTGTTATTAAAACAACAAAAACTGTTGACACCTTACTGTTACTGTGTTCAGTAACTTCATATTGTTTGCCCACTCCCAGCCTCCTGCTTTATACTCAGGGTATTTAATCCTGTGAATAAAATTTGTAATTTCTCCCTCTTTCCGGTTTGCCTTTAATTAGCGTTAAACATTCCCCAGATCTTAAATAAACCATCCATAAACATTTTATTCCCCACCTGTCTCAGTTTTTAAAAAACAGTGACTTAATTTAACCGCTAGAGAACAAACTAATGTCTTCACATGCAGTCACCTGACACTGGGAACGGGTTATTGGGCAAAAGGATACCTAGAGGTCCTGGCTGGTAACTCTCACAGGAAGCATCCCCATCTTAATGCCTCTGTGGGTGCAAAGGTTGTGCCTACGCCCTCGCCTGGCTTCGTTGTACCCAGCTGTCACACACTCGTGGCTGTCTGGGGCTCTTCCGACCCTTGGTGTATCAAGGACTCTGTGCCCCACACCCACGACCTTTCAGAGCTGAAAGGGAGATTCTAGGGAACTGGGGTGCGGGGTGGGGCTGCATGCTTTAGGCATCAGAGCCCTGAGGGCAGAGGGCCCAAGAGTTGCTCGGTAGTGGGGACAGACGCGCAGCTGCCACCGCCATCCTGGAGGCGTTGTCGGCCGTCTGTCTGTTCCACCCTGTGCTTCCCGCTCCGCCAGTGACCCTCCGGGTTTTCTTTTGTCCCTTCTCCACTCTGGACACACAACCCTCCCCGCCGTCCGGACCCCCTCTCTCTTCCTTGAGCCTTTCTGGTCTCCACCCTCTGCTTCCTCTGTCCCTTCCCGCGGTCTCTTGCCCTCCCTCTCCCCCCCCGGGGCGCAGTTTCCCGAGTCCCCTCCCGGCCCCGCCCCGCCCCAGTTTTTAAACCTGGCGCGGAGCAAGCGGGTAGGTGAGCGCGGTCGGCCAGAGGGATCAGGCGCCGTCGAACTGCGGGACTCGCGCGCCGCCGGCACCATGAGACCCGAGGCAGGCGGAGCCCCGGAGGCGCGGGGACGCCTCTGCCACTGTCCGGGAGATGATCCTGGGAGGCCACCGCTGCCACGCGGGCCCGAGAGGTGAGGGTGTCCTGAGGCCCCGGTGGAGGTGCACCCAGACCCTGAGCGAGCTCCTTAGCCTGGGACTGACTATTGCAAATTCCTGTCGGAAATGCAGGGACCCCGAGGATATCTGGCAAGGAAACGGGGCAATACTTGCGTGTATTGAGGATCTGAAATCGATCAAGCTGGGAAATACTGGAAGCTAGGGGTCCTATAAGAAATTTATAAAAGGATCCTGCGGTTTATCACAAAGTGACAGTCTCCTACCCTATGCTGGGGCTCAGTGTTTGCCCTGGGACCCAGCTGTCTATAAAGCCGTGAAGTTTAAGGAAATCAGATTAGCTGGGGAGGTAGGGAAGGCGCAGCCTGGCGATGCAGAAACGCAATCCTATTTGGCATGCTGGGCTAAGGAGCTGAAGAATCAGGAGTCTCCAGCTGCAGAGGTGGTGTAGTTGAAACCAACCAGCTGTGTTGGAAAATCTTGAGGTATCAGTGAGAGATTTGCTAGGAGAAAAAATATCTCGACTCACACGCGCCCCAATAATAGTGTTAGATTTGAGGCTTACCTTCTCAAAGTGTACTTGGAAGCACATTGAGTTCTGCAGGAGACAGGAAGAAGTAAAGTACTCACTGGCTCACCGGCAACAGACCTTAAGGGAACATGGTGTGTGCAGGGACTCTGTCAAACAGACACGATGATATCAATCTCATAGTAACATTTGAGGGGCAACAGAAATGCCAGAGGTTCAGTCTCTCCTGATGCTTGCTTCCAGTTCCATCCCAGCTCCGTGGAGACCGTGGATGTCGCCTCCTGGAGATGCAGAGTTGACCAGAACTGAACGTCCGGTAAGCTAAATGTGAATGTTGTAGGGAACAATCGAGCCAGAAAGCGGCACCATGTCTATAATAACTTTAAAAACAAAACCCGGGGAAAGGACTCCTCCCTCCTGCTTAGCTTGGTCTTCTAACCTAGAAGTGCGTGCCTGGAGGTCGGGCAGGTAGAGCCCAGAGTGAATAGAGGTGCTAATGGGCCCATTGGGCTCTTGATTGCTCCTCCATCCTTGAAAAGCAAACAGCTGAGGATGTGGCCTTTGCGTGGTAATTACATGAGGGGGGATGGTGTTCTTCTGTAAACCAGAACGTTTAAGGACTTAGGGACAGAGGGGCAAAACCCACCCCACTTAGAGAAAAGCTGATTGTGTACCACATTGCAAAGAAGGCAGACCTCATCCACCTCAGGTACCCAGACGGTGCAGTTAAAAGCTCCCACCCTTGTCTGGTCCTGTCTGCAAGAACTCCTGCAGGATCTTCTGTTCTCTGTGCAAATACACTCAAGCACAGGGCTTTGTCAGCAAAGATTAATTGCCACAGCTATCCCTTCATCTTGGTCTTGCCGGTTAATTGCTTTTGACTTATTAGGGGAATGTTTTGCTTACATTTGCTATATTCTCAAATATAAATTGACTTTAAAACAGTGGCGTTAGCTTAGGGAGGACCATGCATCTTACTTACACAACACCTTCGGGATACAACTTAACTTACAGATAAATATGATAAGAAAAGTTTGGGAAGCACCCCTCCATTATTCTTTTACATTTAAGTTATTTTCTTTGAAAACTTCAGTGCTTTAATTCAGTTAATATTTATAGAAGCTCAAAGAACGAAGCAAACAAAAGGATAGCAGTCTGATAAAGTGATTTTGTTTCAGTCCTAATAATTCCTGCTCCAAATTTCTAAGTGACTGAAGGGAATACTTTCTATCTTACTGTATTCAGACTTGAGTTCTTTTTTTTTTTTAATTTTTTTTTCAGACTTGAGTTCTTAAAGGCAAGTTTTTGTTTGTTTGTTTGTTTGTTTGTTTTTGGTTTTTCGAGACAGGGTTTCTCTGTATAGCCCTGGCTGTCCTGGAACTCACTCTGTAGACCAGGCTGGCCTCGAACTCTCGAACTCAGAAATCCACCTGCCTCTGCCTCCCAAATGCTGGGATTAAAGGTGTGTGCCACCACCACCTGGAGGCAAGATTTTAAAGAACTCACAAACTACTAAATTTTCCTGTAAATGAACCACGAGTGTGGAGGTCGCTCAGTTGTGTGGGAGACTAGAATACTACACAGTACATACACGGCCTGAGGCAGGTAGCTTGTGGCTCTACTATGATGAGAAAACCCCTTGTGATTATTAAAGCACAGCCCCTTTCTAGTTGGCTGCACTGCACACAAGGCGGCTAAGTCCAGGATTGGGTGGATGTTCTATAGAGACTGTAGAACTGGCTGCCTTCCCACACCCTTGTCAGGGCGAGATCTTGGGATCCACCCCCTGGGTCTTTCCTTGTCACTAGGCTCTGGCTTTACCAGGGAGCTAAATCTCCAGCTCTACCCGGAAAGCTCTTTGTAGATGTCACACACAGGTTCTCTGCAGGCCTCAGTAAAGCAGGGTCCCCCAGCAGGCTGGGTGAGTGTCCTGAGCTTGGGCTGCGCAGCTTCTAGCTAATGAATGACTCTTGGCAAAGCAGGAAAATTCCTCAACCCCAAGTCTCCATTCCATTTTGTAGAGGATTCTGTGAGGGACTGGGGCTTGGTGACCTGTACCAGGACTTCCAGCAAGCAGATCGAAATTGGAATAAGATATAAATTTGAGAAAAGGCCCCAAGGCCTTGTTCCTTGAGCAGAGGAGCTACCTATACCCACTTGATGCCTCCAGACAGCTGTATCCTCTCCTGGATTGGGAGAAAAATAGACTAATTTTTAAAAATTTTATTTATTTTTTGAGACATGGTTTCTCTGTGTAGTCCTGGCTGTCCTAGAACTCACTCTGTAGACCAGGCCAGCCTTGAACTCACAAGATCTGCCTGTCTTTGCAGGGCTCAAGGACGTGCACCACTACGACCTGATAGACCAAATTAAAAGAAGAAAGAAAGAAAGAGAAATATATATATATAGAGAGAGAGAAAGAAAGAAAGAAAGAAAGAAAGAAAGAAAGAAAGAAAAAGAGAAAAAGAAAGAAAGAGAAAGAAAGAAAGGAAGGAAGGAAGGAAGGAAGGAAGAAAGAAAGAAAGAAAGAAAGAAAGAGAAAGGGGGAGGGAGGGAGAGAGGAGAAGAGAGGAGAGGAGAGGAGAGG